TTTGCAATTTGATTGTCTCTGTAAAAAGTCTGGGGCTTGGTTATCTATGCTATGCCTGTGTAGTATGTCACTGGACATTCCAGCTACTAACATAGTTTTGACTGCATATACAGTTGAAGAACATGAAACCTTGCAGTGTTGATGAGTTTTAAATTGAATTTGCAAGAATGCCATGGGCTATAAGGCATATGCTACTAATATGGAACATCCTGAATTATGATTAAGTGCTTGCAAAACTTTAATCTAATTTTCAAAATGGGTGAAGTCAGATTTGCAGAGTATTCCGTACCTAAGTTTGTGCACAGGTGTATAGCACAGCAGCAGTTATGCAGCTGATAACTTTGTGCATGTTTGTATTTGTTGGCACTAAAATGTTTTTTAAAAAATACAACAAAACCAGGTCATCATTGGTTTCTTTCAAGAAATTACTGCTCCATGAAGAATAAGATTGTTAAACAAAAGCAGTGCCCCTTTTCTGTTGAGCTTTTAACATTTGTCACTGTGTTTGCTGGCAGTTGAATTTAAGCTTTGGAATTTTGGGGCAATTATCAATAGGGCTTAATCCTGTTGTCTCCTTGGATTGTGTTGAGTTATGGGTGTTTTTGTCTGTTTTTTTTTTCTTTTGGGGTATTTTTGGTTTTTGGCCTTTTTTTTTTTTTGATGATGTTTGCTTGGTTTTGTTTCTTTTTTGTCTTTTTTCTCTCATTTTAATTGACTAGGTGGGAGTTGAAACTCGTTAGTCTATTATAATTTTTTTTTTTTTTTGGCACAGTTATCCAGGAAGAAAGATAGTTCTGTTTCTGGGATTTTGAGCTCTCAGTCAAGGCTGAAGAGTATTACTAGCATGCTTACGAAACTGTTAGGGCAGTAAATGCAAGGTCTTAAGAAGTCAGTAATTTTATCTGACTCCTTCCCAAGATTTCTGTCTAGTTTAAAGACATGGCATGGCAGACTGGTGAGGAATTCACTATGACAGCAAAAAATGTTTGCTTCTGCTGAGGGGGAACTTCCTGTTTTTCACTTTATCTTGTCACTGGGCATCATGGACAAGAGTGTGACTCAGTTGGCTTTATGCTCTCTCTTTAGGTATTTCTTGAGACAAATTGATGAGACCTCCCTTAGCCTTCTCTCTGCAGGCTGACCAGACCGAATAGTCACAGCCTTTTTTTTCTGTGTGAGGTGTTTCAGCTCCCACATCACCTTTGTGGCCCTGTCCTGGACTCGCTTGAGTAGGTCCATGTCTGTCTTGTAATGGTGAGCTCCGTCCTGGACACAGCACTTCAGGTGTGGCCTCAGTGGTGCAGAGAGGGAGGACCACAATCCTTGATCAGCTGGCAGCACTCCTCCTGCAGCCCAGGAATAACACTAGCTGCTTTTGCTTAAAATAACAATCAAAAGAGAGCATTTTAACTGGTTCTGATTTCAGACAGCCCTTAAACCCAAATAAAAGTGGAATAACACTTAAAAAGCAATCACAACTCTGCATTTACCCTGCCAGTGTAACTGGAACAATTTCCTTCTTAACAGGAGTTTTCAAGCTTGAATTTTTAACACCAGTATTAACACCATTCTCTTAGTGGATGGACATCAGAATTGATGCTGCTTTATTTGTGATGAGCTACAAAATAATTAATGAATTGCGTATTCTCTGTTATCATAAGGTTTTCTGTCTGTTTCTATGATTTGCTTGGATTTCTTCTTACTAGGACTTCGTTGCTTTAGTTCACACAGATAAGACTCTTGAGGCATGAGGGTACTTCTATAAGCTTTACCTGGATTCTTTTCCCCACTTCTGTACTTCCCTCAGATTATCTTGAATAGAGCGAAGTGTGGGTAAAGAGGAATTGAGTCTCTCTTGGAGAAATTTTGGCTACTTTATATCTTATCTATGCAATGAAAAAAACTTGATTTGGTTTTTATTATGTGCTTTTAATAGAACAAGAAGAAAGCTTTATAATGGTTTATTTACCTTCTGGTTTCATTACTGACCTCAGCTGAAATGGAAACAGTGGTGTAGGTGGAGAAAACTATCAGTCACGATCTGTTCCTTGCCCTTTATTTCTTCCCCCTTTCACGAGCAAATGTCAAGATAGCTCTGACTATTCCAGAATGTACATAAACTTTACAAGGAATCTCCTGCAATTGCATATTACCTAAACTCAAAAATTATAGCTGCAAAAGATGAGTGGCAACTTTCTGGCCAAATACTGAAAAATGTTTCAGTAGAGCAGAAAATGCTGTGTAAGTGAAGTAGTTTTCAAGACAATGATTATTTGCCCTTAAAAAGTATTATTTTTTAGAGAAAGTGACAAGCAAGTTTATCACAGTTAGAGAAAGTGACAAACAAGATAAATAACTGCAAAATTACATTTGAAAAGTGAAATTAGTTGAAAGTTCCTTTCTTAACAGCAAATCTTTTCTTTAAAGTGGCCCAGAGGCTCTCAGTTTTCAGTCTGTGTGACTTCCATGTGCAGCAAGACTTGCAGTATAAGCAATTTCATGCAGGTGAAGGGATAACTAAATAACAACTGTGTACTGATTATTTTTTTCCCTTTTATAATGAAAATTTGGGTTTTCTGTTCGCAGTTCAACCTAGAAACTTGTTTTGAAATGGAGCAGCAGACAGCTGATCTGTGCTTCCTTCTACTCCTTCCTTCCTGCTATTTGAGAAGTCACTTATGTTTGCAGAAGATAAATAGTGCAATAGAGTTTAGAAAAGAATAAAATTAAAATGTGTTTGTTTCCTGAAGTTCAGGTTTAGGGTGTGCTATTGTTTCTAGCTTTTTTATAATAAACAGATTTGTTCTTTCTGGTTTCTGATTATGCTTAAAAAATTCAGGTTATGTTTCAGACATGTATGGTTAGAAGTCCAGAAAGTAGGGATTAAATAGATACAGATACCACATTGTAGTCCAAGTTTTAGTCCATGCTCTCAGAAGAAAATTTGAAGTGCAGTAATGATAGATCATCACCAATGTTTGCAGGTAATTCCTCCTAAATAAAACAAAAGAACTTGTTTTGGAAATAAGACATATTGAGCAGGTGGATATAAATTTGAAGGTAAATGTCATGCTAGAGATGCCAGTGCTTTCTAAGCACTTTGTTTAGAATACACTGCAGAAATACTAATAGAAATAGATGCTGTGTTGATCTTGAGTATAATACAAAGAATGCATGATATTTAAAGGTAAGTTCATATGTTGTGTAGTGAATCATTGAAGATGTGAGACTAAGTAAAAATATAAAATGCTTAGTATGATGCCAGGCACAGGAAAGTATCTCAAGTACAGCAGAGGACGCATAATTATTACATTAGTGACAAGTGAGCTTTGTTCCTTCATGTTCCCTTCATGCTGTGAACAGCTTTAACAAAGTATTTATTTCATCAATCCCATCAACACAAAATTTTGCCTTGCCTCTTCCTTAAAATTCAATCCAGTCATCAAAATAGTTAAGAAAATATCTGGGTACAAGGCAGGTAGAGCAAATTAGATTCTTTGGTGTAAGAATTGATTAGGGAGAGTTGGGAGTTCTACAAGTCCACTCTGAAATTAAATAGTACTGGAATTTATGGATTGGAGAGTATCTTAATGGGTTTGAAATTAATACCCAACCAAATGAGGCAAATGTATATTCTCAGTCCGAAAGACCAAGTTATTTAGATCTAAGAAACTTGGTTTGACAGGGCTATTTGTGCAAGTATATCTGTAGAGTTTTTGTTTTAATTTTAGTTCTTTTCCGTACTTAGGAGGGAATTATCAACAAATAAAATTAACCTTGGCTGCTTCTGTTCTAGTTCTGTACCTCTAAAGAACACTACCTTTGTCAGTAGAGAACAGTACAATTAAGGCAATATTGAGGTGTTTCAGATCATCTTTAGAAGTTCTGTACATTTTTATACAGTTTTGTGTATTAAATCTGTTTTGTCAAGGTGACAGAAGAATTATCATGCTTCAGATCATTTTCTTTAACTAAAAGTGACAGGATGGGCTAACTTCTTGCTTTTTCCTAAAATTTTGGAAGACAGCGTACAGCTTGGTGAGATTCGGGCGTTGAGCGGTTTTGTTTCTGTTCAGCCAGAGCTGAGCCCCTCTCTGTACTTGAGTCTCTTTAGACAAAATAACCACTTCTTAACCTATTGATTAGACCATGTCTCATGAGGCAGCTAGGATGAGAACATATTTCTTTCCCAGTTCTCTCATTCTGCACCAGGCAGTGAAATAGCAGGTGAAACTGGCTTTTGTACATCAGTAGATTCTACCTAGGCAATTTATTTTGACCGGGAAGTGACACTTTTGTTCTAGCCAACATCCTCCTGGAGAGAGAAGATAAAATAACTTAGAGAAGTATTTCACACCTTGGAAGTTGATATTACTGCAGCCAAATCTGTCATTGTCACTGCAACTGAATTTGTCACAGCAGTTAAATATTTTGGTTTCACTTGTAAACCATTAGTTTTTTCACCTTCTACAGTACTTAAGTTGTCTGTTTAACGCTTGGAGCATGGGACATGCACTGGGTTCTTAGTAGGAGTTTTGGCATAGCTTTGGCTAAGATGTTATAATTTGTGTCCTTACATACTGACTTAAGTATTATCCTAGATAAAATTTGAGGTCACTACCACCTCATAATGAGACTTGAGAGGCTGCTCTTTGAAAAATACTTCTAAAAAATTGTGTTCTTTGAAGTAAGAATGGTGAAGATTTGAAGTAGAGAAATTTGATTATGATGTTATCCTTAAGGAATATGGTAGTTCAGGAATAGCAAGAAGCAAATTCTGTGTAAATGTTGTTTGTATTTTGTTATTGCCAAACTATTTGTATTAAAATGTAGGATCCTTTTCTCCAAGGAGAAAAGGATCCTACATTTTAATACAAATAGTTTAGCAATTTCCTACATTTTCTCCAAGGAAGTTTTCCTAAAGATCTTTGAAGAAGGTGACTTATACAAGGGTGGGTTGGTTTCTAGGTCTCAGTTTTGCATGCCCAGTTTCTGAAGTTTTGTCTGTTCAGGAGCTTGAAGAGGCTTTCCAAGAGTTGCCATTTTGAGGTGACTAAGAGGGTTGGGTGGCTGCTAGCCTGCTTTGAACTTCATTTTCTCAGTGGGACTGTCCCTTAACAAAGGCAGTCTGGATCAAACTCCTTGAGACCTTGGTACTGTTATCATTAGCTTCGATGGTTCTTTCTGTTTTTAGCAACCTGTCTTTAACTTGCGACAAAATCCATTAGTGTGCCATGATACTAATGACCCTTCTTCCCCACACCCTGCCCCAGCATTTGTAAATGGAAGTTGAATTCAATGTTTGGGTATTAACTGAACATTACTACTGTAGGTGGTGGTGGTGCTGTCATGACATTCTGCAAGTTTTGGATTTTTCTAGTGTCTCTCTTTTTTCTGTAATGGTAGCTTTTCTTGGATTGTCAATTTTTTTGCATTTGTTGAATGGGCTTTGAGTCACTAATGCCTCCTAATTTTGCCATATGAAAGTTACCCTTTAGTGTTTCAATGCACTTCAAACATTGTTAATTTTATGTTTTGTTTCAGCAATACAATATTTCAAAAACTGGCTTTTCAATGTTGGTGCAAGGCTGGAGTTTTTCAATTTTTTTGTAAAACCAATAAAATGTCTTCAAGAAAGGGTAATTGCTCAGAACAGTCTGTTTTAAACAGGTAGTTGTCTAGCAGTTTATGAACTGTGTTTATTTTTAAGTATCTGAAATTCCTTTCTTGTGTAACGGTTTCTGTTTTTCAGTGCACAATTTTAGGACTGTACTGCTGGAGCATAATATACTGTCATTGTATTTTTGCTTTATTTTTTAACCCTGTGATGATGACATTCTTTCAGTTGCAAGAGTTACCGTCCTTAGTGGCTGATGATGCTTCCTTAGAGTATATTGCTATTTATCATGAGCAGTATATTATAGGAAGACAATACAAGGAAGTTTCTAGTGTGAACTAGGACAGCTTTTTGTACAGGACAGAAGATAGCATAGTAAACTCCAGCAAGTTGCATAAGTGGAGTTTCTGTCTCTTGTGGATGCTTGACGTTTCAAGAAGAGAGGTTTAACTCTTGTTAGATATTTAGAAAACTGTTCTGAAAGAGAGTAACTAGCCATATATCCCCTGAACCAGGTAATAATAAAATGCAGAGGTTGAAACTTGGTGTTTTTCACTTGAAATTGCAAGGAGTTTAGTTGTGTATTTAGACTGTCTGTAGTCTGTGGAAGTATTCCTTGATCAGTACACGGTGGTGTCTTGTTAGCTGAAGGTAGTCATGAGAGTAAAAACTGTTCCGGGACAGTTGCTTTCTCGTCAAGTGAGTAATTTAACTAACATGTAAGTCCTGGGCTTTTTACTTTGAAATGCACTAGAAAGAGAATGAATGTTAGTGAGGTGTGTGTTTTCACCTACTGTCTTAGTATGGAAGCTGTTGCATTTTTAGTTTAGCCAGTTTTACTTTGAAATCTACATTTTAAACTAGTGAAAACCTTTTAAAGTGGCCAAGATGCAAATGTTTGCAAGTATACTTTACCATGGCCTGTGGGACTCTGTATATATTTTTGATTCAGACTGTGGTTTCACTCATGTTTTTCTCAATGTCTGTATAAGATGGAGTTGATCTCAGCTGCCTTCTTCTGTCTTTGTGCTGTTCCTTTACTTAGGCAGAAGTGTTGTTTGGTTTGCGTTTTTTCAGTGTGTCATGGCATGGTGATGTGGATCAAGGAATAACTAGTGAAACATAGTGAGGTTTTGGTTTTTTGGGTTTTTTTATTTTTTTAATTTGGGTGGGGGTTTTTTCCCCCCCTCCTAGGTAGGTCCATTTCATGACCATGTAAAACCACAGCGAGGAGTTTTGGTCAAACTTGGTAAGACAGAATAGGAACAAAAATAAGTGCCAGTGGCTGGACCATCTTCTCTCTTTTCCCTAAATGCTGAACGTAATGCAAGAGGTCATGCCTGCGGGTATGTTAGCCTGAGGTGCTATGGATTTCCTAATCCTAAACCATTAATAAAACCTTTTTTTTACCTTATTTCTTCTAAGCTGTGCTTATGCTAAATCTTTGTCCAAGGAGAAGTGGGGCATCAGCTTTATGTTTGGCTTACCCAGTTTCTTCTAGCCAGCTCTTAAATTACATTAGGTCTGGCTGATGAAGCTTTTCTGAAAGACAGGATGGAAGGAGGAAAACCATGTCCTGCCACCCAAAAGTAAGTGGATAGCCAAGTTATCTATTAAATGTAAAAGAAGTACAGAGCCCATGTGTAAAGCAGAGACCAAATTTGTAATCATCAAAGAACCTAAAAGTCATGGCCCCAACAGCAAGTCCCTTCCCATCAGGTGACTCGTTCAGCAATTTGATTTAGCTGATGTAGTTATGCATGTAAAAAAGTCCATGTAAAAGCCTTACTGGACAAGCTTCTCCCTATTCCTATCTTTTGCTGGTAGAAAGAAAAAAAGGAATGTATGCTGCTTTCCTTCCTCAAATATATTCAAGTTGGCTGGAAAATGTTCCCTCTGTAGTATCTGTCACTCTTTAGCAGGGTTCATGAAGTAGCCTAATGCTTAAAGCTTTGATATGCCACAATGCAAGCTGTTAACACTTGATTGAAATCACTCTGTGCTTGCATACTTGACTATCCATTGCAGGATACCTGTAAAGGTAGGAAAGGGACAAGTTAAGGATTTTTCAAACTCCCTTTTTAGACCACTTACGAATGAAAATTGTTTTTGTAAATATGATCAAGAAGATGATCTTTTGAAAGTGCAAAGCTCACAAGAGAAAAACATGTCTTAGTCTGCAAAAGTGAAATGCAAGACTTCACTTTGTTATTAAGTAGAACTCAGAATTTCCAGCTTTAAGAAAAGGTGCAGTCTGGCACTGGCGTTTGTCTTTAAAAATATTAGCAAGGCTAGTGGTTTATATTAAATGGCAATAAAAACACGCTATTTCTTGAGTGTAAGAGCTGCTTTAGTGTTTCTCTTTGCAGGTGAGAATAAAGCTCCTAAATTGAGGGTTTTGGAGATTTTTGACTATATAATATTTTAGCTAAATTGTCCTTTTGCTTCCCTTTACTGCCTTATTCATGCGTTGGGTTTTTTCCTCTCTGGATTTCTTTCTCCATTAGAAGCTTTTTATAATCATTCTTTTCTGTCTTAAAAGAATAATTTGTTTAGACTTTAGTCATCATCTTTAGCTGATAGTAGAGGAGATGTCATTAGATGACTAAATGGGTTTTTTCAGTGCTTGAGTACACTGTCACTCCAGTATTTCCCATTCCTCTCTGCCATTACCCACCTGTACTGTAGTCTACAGTATTTATTATTTTGTCTGCTTTGTGCAAGATCTTGTGTAAACTCAATCAGTCCTAACTCTGGAAAGTTTATTTCTAAATTATAATATAAAAAGGTGCAGCAGAACGAGAAAAAAGTGAATGAGAACAAAGATGTGAAGATGTGATTTCTTTCAGGGTCTAAATAGGTACATAATTACTGTATTTTGTAATTGGCAACTAAAGTGTTCAAAAATCATGATTAACATCTTCTGAAATCAAATGGCTTAAAAATGAATTGGAAAAGGCTTTAGAAGATAATATTGAAATTTCAGAGTTACTTGCTTCTTGTAATGCTTTAGGGGTTTGAAGTTTCCAAACTGTCCTCTACAGCTAAAAATAAAAGCTTAAAACAATCCAAGGGGTAAAAAGCAGACAGAAGTAAAATTTATTGTTTTGAATGAGAGAAATGGCAAGTTGAAAACCATGATATATTTAGGAATGTGATTATTTTAAGAAGAGTTCTGAAGATAGTAGCAGCTGTCCATGTTACTATCAAGATGTTCAGCTTTTTCAAGTGATGAGCTGGTAGTGAAACATAAATCTGGTGATACTGAATGTGCTAGAATCAATCATTTTCCTGCTTTCAAATCCCAGACAGCAGCCAGAAACAGCACATAATGTGGCTGGCTTCTCTGCTGATGACCTTTTTTGAGGACTACTGAGATAATTAAAATGATGATACAGTAAAAATCACCCAAAGGACATAGTTTTCAATGACATCACTACCTGGAATCACCATGAAGAGGAAATGTTATAAACATGGTGAAAAGTTAAGCCTAAATGGATGATGTCTGTCCACTACTACATCCAAAAGTAATTGTTACTTCAATTTTGTAACACTCTGTAGTGTCTCAGGCTGTATTTTATCAGCAAAGACGATTTTGGGGCATTATTGTATCAGAAGAAATGGGACATTCATGAGGAGGTATTTTTTAAGAGTTCAGGAAAGTGTCACAAATGAAAATTTTAAACTAGGAAGATGGAAGCTCAGTGGTGGAAATATTTTCAATGCTGCTGTCAGTTACCTGATGGAATATTTTTTGTCAGTTTTTGGAGTTGGCATTGTTAGGACAATTTTAGAAAGATGAATGTCTCAGTAAATCTGTGAATTGCATATTCTATCACTGCAGTGATAGAATAGATCAGATATAGCAACAGATCCTGTCCAGTTCAGTTATCTATTAAATGTAAAAGAAGTACAGAGCCCATCTGTAAAGCAGAGACCAAATTTGTAATCATCAAAGAACCTAAAAGTCATGGCCCAAACAACAAGTATTAAGTCATCCCCTGGTGTGCTGATAAAAATCTTTCCTTAAAATGTGTCTGTTTTGGCAGTTATAGTAGATATGGGGAACTTTCTATTCAAGTAAATGCCCTGGTGCTTTAAAGGCACTGAACTGCTTCCATGTTTTTAGACACTGGTGTCAGGTATGCATTCAGACAAAATACTTGTTGTAGTTAGCTCCTCAATTTGTCCAGCTTACCACCACATGCAATTGGGGCAAGATTTATAAAACTTTAGGTAAAAGGAATTGCGGAAGAGATAGATATTTGTTAATATTTGAAATTCTTCATGCCACCTGTTAAAATGCTTGTGTTAAAATGCTTGCCACATTTGTTGTAGTCTAATTATACTCTTTTGATGGCTGGAGCTTCTACACTTCCTAGAAGTGATGGTTACAGAAGCATGTGAAAGGGACTCTTATTGAAATTATGCTTTAGACTGCATACATGGCACGGAGGGGGTGTGAAGAAGAGATCTTTTCTTTTCACCCATCCTACCTGCTTATTCAATTTAGAAGCTCACTGTGATGTTTCACATTAAAATGTAGCATGAAAGTACTATGGCACAGAAGTAACAGCTTTTTTGTTTTGCTTTAAACTGTCCCTGAATAATCTTGATCTGAGGGAGATGGCTATCTCCCGGTTCTGTTTTCTTAAAGCAGGTAACTTTAAAAATCAGAACTTCTTTTTCTGGTTAAGAACATAAACATCCATTCTAGGAAATCTAGGTTGTAATTTTAAAAAAATTAACTGTAAGCTTAGGAGTCCTTGCCAGTGCTGTACTTGCCCTTCCTCAGGAAGTACATAGATTTTTTTTTTTTCCCCCTTGGGACCTCTGACATGGTTAAAGCAATGATTACTTAGGTTGCAAGTGACTCTGGTTGTAAATGACTCTGGAGAGCTTGAAACAGCTGATGAAAATATCTGTGAAAGGTTTCCTGTTTTTATAAACTTTTTTTGGATAGTTATACATTGTTAGCAATTTATTTGCTGACTGAATTAAAAACTATAGTTTTATTATCAGATTAATTAATTCAGGTGGGCAGTGTCTGTAATGCTATGGTACTGAGGTCATGCTGACAGAGGAAAGACTTCCATATGATATTTCTTAGGGTGACCTGTACTTAAAGAATTGCCCTTTATTGGGTAAAGTAGTGTGCACTGCATAGATGTTCACCTAAATGGCAAAATCTCTAGAAAATTATTTTTCCTTGGCATGCTCTCTGAAAACCAGAGCTTAACTTGATCAGGTGGAATACAAATCTGAATAGGAGAACATAACAGGATAGTACATTTTGAGTTCTTTATTTTCATGTTCTTTAGTTACATGCTGTTGGTGATACTTGAACTTCTCGGTGTTAAACTAGCTTGAGCCTTTGTGTTTAACTTAGTGTTAAAACGTCTTTTTCAAAAGAGGTTCAGGGATATTATGCTTGTCATTATTCTTGGTCTTGCAACACAATCAGTGCGTATTTGTAGGGGCTGAGTTTGGGCAGTAATAGTTTGTGGATGTAATGGAGCTACAGTCTGGGACCAGAAGTCTAAATGGGTTATTATCTTCAGAAAGTCCCAAAACAGTGTGGGTGGAGTGGTGGGAAGGAATTTACTATACTGCCTTCACAACTCTAGAGTAGGAGCCCTCTCAAAAGTAGCAGGGCTATGTGAAATGGAAGGTGAAAACTACAGCGATGTGGCCTTCAGAAAGCTTCCTTAGTTTTCTTCAGAACTGTAGAGGTATTTGGAAAGCATTTGCACAGCAGATAGAGCAGGCTCTAATAACCACAGCTATTCTTAGCCTCCTTTCCACCTTAGGTTTTAGACGTGCTTATTCCGAGCCTTGTCCCAGCCCTCCTGCGCGTGACCTGGGTGCATCGTTCCGCGTTCAGCCCGTGGCCCAGCTCCAGTGGTGCTCGCCCCATTCTGTGCTCGTGCAAATCAACCTGCGCGACCGGCGGCACCTCAGGCTTCGTATATGTCGTATGTGAGAACGTGATTAAATAAAACCAGACATGCTGTAAATACAGAGTCGTGCCGGCTATGAGCATGCAGGCTTGGGTAGAACCGGAGGAAATCACGGCTGTGAGTGGTCCTGCCCGGTTTGCGTCTGCTGGGCGGTGCTGGGGCTGGCTCCTCACTTTACAGCCCGCAGTCGTGGGCGACGGGACGGCGATTCCCTGGCCGGGACAGCCTCCCCGTTCTTGTCCTGGTGTGCCCGCGGAGCGGGGCCGCGACCCCAGTGCCGCAGGGGTTAAGGGCGGCGGGGCCGCGGCGCTCTGCAAAGCCGTGAAGTAAAAAGGAAGTGCATTGCAAAATGCTGAGCTCAATAGGCTGGCTCCCGGCCAAGCCCTCGCCTGCCCCGGCACAGCTGAGGCTGGTGCGCGCTCGCTGGCGGCGCGGGCCCGCGGCGCTGTTGAGGAATGCCGCGGCCGGTGACGTCAGCGGCCGGCGGTTCAGCCGGGGGACAGGCGGGCAGGCCCCGCCCCGCCCGCGCTGCGGCGGGAACGCGGCGCGCGCTTTAACGGGAAATGACGAGGGCCCTGCTGGGTCTGGAGAGCAGTGCTGCCCGTGAGCCCGGGAAGGGCTCTGAGCTCACCATCGGCTCTGCCGCCCTCCCTCTGCTGTCCGCCGGGTGAGAGAAGTGCTACGGCGCTAAAGCACAGTCAGTGCTGCCATCGCAGCCCCTTAGTTCATAAATCTTGGGAGAGCTTATCTAGGAAGGTATCTTGAGGGTGGCAAGGTGTTAAGCATTTTCGTTAAAAGTGAATAAAATTACCCAGGTTTTGGGTTTGATTGGGTGATGAATCTTCTGGGTGATACTCTCTGCAGCTCTATAATCAGATTTCAGGGTGGATCTATGCTTTTTGATTATTATGAAACAAATGAAAAAAAGAAAAAAAAAATCATACCTGGACAATATTCCAGGCTTGTGCAAGAGTGACAAAAAGAATTTTTCACTGTCAGCCTTACCAGCCGTATAAGTAAGTGGAACATTACTTAAATGTTTCCTCTTATTAAAAGGATTTTGGGAGACTTGCTGGTTGCAGAACCTTCTGGGCTGACTGGATACTTGCTTAGCAGGTCCAGGCAGCTTTTTTTGAAGCTGCTCTCTTGGCGGTTTTTTTTGTGGTTTTTTTTGTTTTTTTTTTTTTTTTTTTTTTTTTAATTCAGTATTTTGTGGTCTACCTTCCTCTCCTGTAACCAGTCTTGCTGCTTGTAATCTTCAATGTTAAATCTCCAGAACTTCTGGGGCAGTGCTTCTCATTACATTTCTCTGGTCAGTGTACACTTGTCACAGCGGTATAATGCTTCTATATAAATTAGAATTATAGGTTGCAGGTCTCTTTTCAGAGTTGAAGTAGAAATATATGATGGAATTTTTAAACTAATAGTTCAGTGAAGGAAAGGTGAGGTCGTAAAAAACTTCAAGAGAAGTTTTTCTCTTTCCTCTCCCATTCTTCCTGTCCGGTTAATGATATTGCAGCTATTGGTGACATTGGTATAGATGTGTTCCTGATAGAGCAGCTTGTTCTTGCAAGGCAGGTCTAGTTCATGAAATTCACTGCCAAATGGTATTGGGGCCAAGTCTTAATCAGAGCCAAAAAACATCATAAGTAGTAGCATGGAAAAACATCTTTTAAAATTTGATACATCATCTATGGTTGGTAATTTAGGGGTCAGAAGTAGTAAATTTATTTTGTATTGTTGTGGTGCTGCATGACTCTGTATGAGTCACTCTGCTTTGTGTGTGTTGCTTTCTCCACTGTCTTGTCTGTTGCAGATTATTATTAAATCTTATGACTGCTACTGAACAGTGCATACTGTAGTGGTGCCTCAAGTTCTGTCTGGGCAGTAGTGACACAATGTGACTATGAGGAAGCCTCTGGGTTGCCTCTGTGAATCAGACTAGTTTGTACCTCTCATTCCACTGAGTGTGATATGGGATTTCCTCTTGAGCTATAAAATGACTAAGTCTAGTTAAATGCAGCATAAACCATATAAAATAGGAGTTTGGATCTTTCAATCTTTCTAAATATTGCAAGCTATTTAATAGAAATGGCCTACACTGTGCTCAAGCCCTGAGAGACTCATTGTGGTTCTGTATTTCTGAAAAAAAAAACCAAAAAAAAAAAAGGCACCAGACAAAGCTTAACTCTTACTTCTGAAGCTCACTGTCAGAGGTTTAATTTGATATATGGAGATGGATTTTGTTAGACTGCCTATCTTTTTACTAAATCTTTGAATTAACATGGGAGAGACAGTATTGTTGTGTAGTTGTTTTTTTTGGTGTTATGGTATATAAGTTCCTCATATTTGATATTTGACTTCTCTTCAGAACCAGTTTTTATGTGCAGTATGCATATTCCCTGAAGTATCTTGTCATCATGACTCATAATGAGAGAAACTTAGCAGCAGTTCTGAGAGAGAGGCCCTTTTCCTGTTAAGATGTGAACCCTGTGCTGTATCCACTGAGAAATCCTGTCCATTTACTATAAACTATAATTTTGGAAAAAAACCCAAAAAAACAAATAACCCCCCCCACACAAACAGGAAATAAACAAAACCTCCACAAACAAACACCAAACCAAAAAAAACCACGAACCCACAAATAAACCAACAAAACCAACCAGCTAAACCCCAGAACTATAGAGTGGTGTTGAAGTACTGGTGCCTGAGTGGCACATTTTTCCTTTTCTGCTTGACTGGCTGATGGTCCTGTCCTGTATAGGTTTTTTCCATCCGTACTGGAGCAATATTCCCAGTTCAGTTCAATGTCAGTTTAAGTGTACAGGAAGAAAGCAGCAAAAGACTTGAAAAAAAATCTCAAATCATATAGTAGCACCCCCTTTACAATTACAGGCATTGTGTCACTGATAATGGGACGCAGTATTAATCAAGAGATCAAATATCCAGTAAGTGCCTTGTATGTACGAACTGATTTCTCAGGATCCTTATTTCCCTGACAGTGTATTAAGTGCCATGTTGGATTTTTTTTTTCCTGTGTCAGTTTTTTTGGCAAAGGGGTGAATTTGTGTCCTTAAGGCCTAATACCTAAGAAAATTTGAAACTCATCATGTTCTTGCCTCACTTCTTCTCTAGAGGCATTAACCAGAAGTAACTTCACATACAGCTTCTACAGAAACTACTTTTGCAAGGGCTGTGATTAAGGACACCCCATCTCGTTCCCCTGCTTTTCCCCCACTATATCAGTTTTTTGGGACATCCCATCTAGTGAACTCCTGAACCCAGAGAGCTGACAGTAGAATACTCTCACAGCTAGCAGATAAATTAGGAATAATAAATTAGGTAGCTATTTGATTAGGTAAGAAAATAACACCCAACATAAACCATTTCCTGAGTATTACGAATAGCCAGAAGTGATTGTTCTTTCATGCAGCAAAGGCATTTCTAATGATTCTGAAAGGAATCCTTGCAGAAGATGAGTGTAAAAGTTTTCCGAATGTCTCCTATCCATTGTCCCTCCCCCTTTTTTTCATGTGCCATACTACAAAACTGGCTCTTGTTCTGCTACTGTTTTTAGTTTGCATGGAGTAGAGATGAAAATGCCTGTCTACCTTTAAAATATCTGATTTTTTTGGGTGGTTGGTTGGTGATGTTTCTTCTTCCTCTGTCCTTTCTGGTTTGGAGAATCAGGAGAATGAAAATCACTCCTGATGATTGCCTTGATGGGATTTGGATATGGTAGTGGTGACAAATAACTTTTCTTTCTCATCCCCTTTGCTGTGTATCATTTCCTTTTCTACTTCTCCTTCTCCAGCTTTCTCTTCAGGTCTGTGTGCTCAACATCCCATATTGTGCTTGTATCAGAATGTGAGCTATTGTGTAGGACAAAATTATTGGTGCCCTTTGCCAGGATATTCTGGGGGATTGAAGGAATCCCAATTGAGCAGCAAGGAGAAACAATGTTAATGTCTCTGGAAACTCTATACAAAATGCAGCATGTGGTTCAGAGAACTCTGTTGCTCAGTGTAGGCTTAATGCAAGTAACTGGTTTTACTATCATAAATTATGTTAATTTTTCTCTCATTATTTGAGTAACAGTAAAATAACTATCCCCAAGTACCTGTGGTTAAATGTGTAGAAGGAGCGTTTTCTCAAACATTTGTTGAAATCAGTGCCCATAGAAAAATTTGTTAACTTTGAACTCTTTTATCACGTTTATCCAAACGTTGTTGTGAATCTTGTGGTCTTTTAGTTTGAATTGTGATTTACTATGTTCCACTCTTATACCTTATTCTGTATAATATAAACTGCACTTTATTACCTTTAGTATGTAAATGGCACAGGTCATTGTGCTGGGTGTATCTTTTGTGTGCCTACCAAAGCAAGACACTGGTTGGTGTGGTTTGGATGTGTCTGGCCTGGGCTAGCAGGAGGCCTGAGGCAGAAAAAAATGGATCCTGTTTTGTTAAAAAGGATTTGGTTATACCAAGAAATAAAATCTTGTTCTAGCCTTGAAGCATATCACAGATCTGTTTGGTGGTAGCTGGCAAATTCTTGTAACATGGTGTGGTACTTGTGTCACAAAGGTACTATAATAGTACATAGAGATACAGCAGTGTCTGCATTTTTCTAGTGCTTTGAGATTTGTTGTATCTCTAGGAGCAGACTGGAAGAGTACAGATGGGGTTTCAACTGGCTTCATGACATTTTGAAAACTTTCTCTTGAGGCTATGCTCTTTGAAGTGACAGTTGCTTCAGAGATCTTTATAATTGATATTGTTGTAAAGCTAACAAATAAAAAATGGTAAGAAAAATATGCACAGGTTGTGATATAGTTGCTCCTTCCTGGGTGGAATTACATAGTGTTTTTAATGAGAATCTATTAAAACCTATTAGCTGCAAATTGAGTAATGTAGAAGTACAGTATCTGGGTTTTTATGTTGATAATGGCACAAAAATTATTCCTCTCTGTTCAGAAATAACTTCTGTGGGTAACTATGTGATAATATTCTATTTTCCATACACTGATGTTTCAACAAATAACACAAAAAGCAATCACAGAAATAAAGTGACAAAGCACTTATAAGCAGCTTTATGCAGGGTGAGTTTTCTTCTTTGTATGCCTGCTTTTTCCTGTTTTGCAAAAAGCAGTGGCAGATACTCTTCACACTCCCACACAGGTGGGAACATGAAGAAAATTTGCCTTCACCTGCTTGTGTAAGGATCTGTTGTCTGATTTTTTTTGTTGCCTTGTGTTTAATATTACCAATTTGTATTTTTTAATGTTAACTAGTGCCTTGCAGCTTTTACTCCTACTGTGTGTGCTTTTACTCCTACTTTGTCACTGAGTGTTTACCATCTGGTTGTTATGTGAAGCAGCGTTGTTAAATATACCATGGAGTATCTGGGTTTCTCTGAGTCTCACACTGGCTGGAAGTGAATTGGTACATTTGGTAGTAGATATTTGAGCTGTTTCTGAGTCTGAAAAAGTTCAACAGGTGGTTCTTTTTTGGCAATAAAGCTTGGACAATTCTGAATCCTGAATGTTGGCTTGTTCTCCTTAAATAAAAATTACTAATTGAAGGAAGCATTAAAACCCAATTCCCAGTGAATTCTAGGTGATATTTTTTGGCAGTCAGGGAATATCCCAGAGAGATTGCCAATGTAAACACTGTGCGTGCTACCATGGGCTTCTTCCGTTTCCTCTTGTCTTTGGTACAACTACGTTGGCACTGACTTCATCAGCTGCCGTTGTTCAAGCTTCTGGAGTTGAACTGTGCTGCCAATTGTTTGGGAATTACTGTCTAAAATTAGAGTCTCTTTAGCCAGCAAGATCTCCATGCGGCAGGGAACATTATATGCAGGTTGTTGTCCTGCTTCCACTCTCTGGAAAGGGGATATGAATGCAAGACAGCCAGACAGGTTTTGGACAGCTGGAGAAAGCAAATGATGAGGTATGACCTTTTGCTCAAACTGTGTCCAATGGGCATAATTTGAGTTCAGCATGATATTTTTGTGAATATTTGTGGCTTTGTGAATGGCTTTTTAGCTTGTAAGGTTTTTATAGAAACGCAGTTTATAGTTTATTCAATACGAGTTGTGAAGAGTTGGTGGAAACCACAGATGCTTTCAGAGGTGGAAAGCCTCTGAAAGATCCCAAGTTTGGCACCTTTCAGAGGCTTAGAGAACCTGGTCCCAAATACTTCCAGTTACCTAGTTTAAAAGCACATAGGATTTACTAATTTCTTTTAAAACCCCCAACACTTATATATATAATTGTATTTGTGTTATGAGTTATGATGTAGTTTATTAAAATCAGGGCTAGCAAGATGAGCAGTATTGTCAGTGCAAAGCATGCTCGAACACTGTCTCTGCTGGTGGGGATTTCACATTGTGAATATTGGAGCTTGTCTCTGTGGACAGGAAGGAGAAAGTTGTATATCATATGCCAAGAATTATTTAGTAATTAAAAATTAGTTTTATTAGACAACTTTTGCACTATCTGCTTAATTTCTTAGGTGTAATTAAGATATAGTCACCTTGTACTGATATGGATGTAAAATTAATGCCTAATTTGCCTGAGAAGGCTGTTTTTCCTTTGAAGGTCTGGCCACATATTTCCCATTTCCCCTTTACTTCTACCCCATGTTAAAGAAAAAGGGGAAGCAAATAGCCAGTTTTAAAATTCATGTTCTCAAATGTTAATTTGATGCTTTGAAGCATAAATGACCTTTTTAACCTACCCAAACAAAGAAACTATAGAAGTAAGCTGCTTTGTTCTAATACAACAGGCTGCTTCTCAGGGAGAATTTCTAAACAATTCTTCCTCCCTCTTCTCAACTACATTAAATTAAACTTTGTCCTTTGCTAAATTTGAATTTAAATGTGTATATATGTTGTTGGAGAGATAAGAGGGGAATCTAGACTATGTGTCCATATTTGCCTATGGATTTCACGTCCTGAAACCCAGGGCAAGTGGATAATGCTTTCAATCACAGCTACTCCAGCTGGTATTACTTAGCACTGCAAAAGAAGTTAGGTGTGTATCAGAAGCTAAGGGAAGGCTTAAAAAGGGGGTTTTGTCTTGTTTCAGAACTAAGGAGTGAGGAAGAAAGATGGGGAGACGAGAAATAAAACAGCCATCATTTCTTGAAACCTGTTATTTAACTGTTTGGATGGCTATATACACCTTGGAGGTCAGATTTTAAAACTTAAATATAAAGGTTTCTTAACTTAGTTTAATTGAGATTGGAACTGTGATGAAGTGTGTACTGTACAAACAGGAAAAACAGTTGGTGCATCAATGACTGTCATTATCAGTTTTACCAGACAAAAGAAATACAGAAAAGGACAAGGTGGAAGATGTAAGGCAATATACAAATAATAAATGTATTTATAAAAGAAAATGTTTTCATTTCTACCTCTATCCAAAAAGAAAATAAATGGAATTTGATACTTGAATAACAGTCTTCTCTGCCATCTGTGTTTGTAACATTTGAAAGTAATCTCTTGGAAGAGTGACATGTTTCTGAGGCAAGCACCACATTACAAGCTTTTTCTGTAGGACATAAACAGAGTTAGAGTAATAGTCTGGTGTTGCATTTCTTATAGCTTGTCTCTTTTTGTTTATCCATATTTTTTGCCTTTTCTAACAATGATCTGCACCCCCCCACCCCCCCCCCCCCCCAAGAAAAAAGGTGTATCTAATTGTTTAATTTCTTCTGACTTCAGAAATTGAAATATGTCCTTTAGTCACTATTTTTTCCTATTACTTACCTGTTTGGAGATTTACTTGGCATCTCTGCTGTATAACCTGTGTTGATCTTGTTTATCTACAGCTCAAGCCTGCTGTAAGAGTCATAGACAGATGTGAGAATGCAGCACCTGTCATTTTCAAATACTCAGCAGGTGAGCAGTATCTTAACATCTCAGGATCGCATTGGTACTATTCAATAATATTTGGTTGCTTGAATCTTTCATTTAGTTATTTGGATACTGAAGTGAATAAATACGTGAATGGAGTGTTAGGTGATCTTTTCAGCATGGCAGAACTTGGAAAAACACCTTATTGTAATTAGAATATCATTGGCTTTTATCCAGCCAAAGCTTATCTAGTCTCTGAGGCCACAGCCTTTATTTAAAGATTGAATTCTGCTATACACTTCTAAGATACCCACAAAGTAAACTGCTGAAAATGCTTCTTCACCTCTTCAGCCTTGGGTGTGTTTTGTGCTACCTTGACAGCTCAGTCACAAAGAACCTTGGATTTGTGGCTTCCAGGCCTGATTAATATAATGTACTGTAATTAAAAAAAAAAAAAAAAACAACCCACAGGCTCTTTTCTAATTTAGATATTCCCACTGCTCCCAGGACTTCTCCAGCTTTCATTGAGCATTGTTTCAGATTAGTCATAATTTAAATATTTGTTTTGTTTACTATGGCCTGGACACTACAAAGAGTCCCTGGAATAAATCCATGCCTTCAGTGTGATTTTGGAGTCTCTTGAGAAGGCTCTATGATTAGCTATGTACCCTAAGAACGACCAAAGGTACTACTATGACATAATTTTCATGTTGTATTTCTGTAGCACTGGTACTTATCCAAAATGAGATTACAGATAATACAAGATATATTTTTTCTTACTTGCTCTTCACATGTTCTTCAGTCACTGTTACTTCTGGACTTTGAGAGTGCCAGTGGCAAATGAGTTGGAGAAGAACATTAAAGCACTGAAATGGAAAATACAGCAAAACCCAAAGCTACCTATATTTAATTTTTCCAAGTACGATGGTAACTGGCTTGATAAAATAGTTTTAGACTTTCCCAGCTTTTGATATGAATTACCAAATGGCATTACTTATTTTTTTTTACTACAGCTGCTGTAGAAATGTGCCCACAGCTACTGTTCTGGTAAACAAAGCCTAGTAGCCAGATGGCAGTAATGTTTAAAAAGTTGAGTGATATGGTTTGGGAAGCATCAAACTGGAATATGCCTTGTTTTGCTAGGTACCTTAGATTTAGTACACCATGAAAGACTTTTAAATGTGTTATCACTGCAGTGGCTTGAAAGAACACATAGACTATTATGTAGAATACAAATAATGCTTACTAAACTTGCAGTTGATTCATTCTGATAGGTGATCCAAACTGCTGTTAGGCTGTATTTACTTGTACATAAACAAATGCCCTTGTGCTCTAAATGAGTATAACTATTCCAAACCTAGTTATGCATATTTTAAACAACTGTTAAATACTATATTTCAAATAATTTCTGGTTTTGTGAAGACATAAATTATTCAATATATCCTTTCCTCACCCTTACTCTGTTGTATTTTCCTGTTTGAAAGGTAGAGACTTGGTACATTTGGCGAGCTGCTGTATGACTGGAGAACTGCTCTTGAGAGAAGATGATAGGCAGGGCATAGATGCTTCAGGTAGCTTGCTGTTCTTTTTGTAGTTTTAATCTGCTGGGTAACTGTTTACCATGATGCATTAAAGCAGCCAGCTTGGTGGTTTTGTCTAGTTTCTGAAAGTAAGCTATAGACTGGAAGGTTCTTAGCATCAACTTAGACGCAGTCAGACTTACTGGGAGATAATGAGTTGGATTCAGTTCTTGGTGACCCATGTATAGAAAAATACAGTCCTTGAGTTATTAAGTAGCAAATCAGCTTTTCTAAGACATGAAGTAAGTATCATGAAAAAATGGTGGCAGACTTCTTTCTGTCTTTTAAAAAAGTGGAATAGGTCTTCCTGCAAGGCTGCCTGTCTCTTTCCCCTCCCTTCCCCTCCTTTTTATGTGGGAAAAGCTGGCATTGTGGAACAGTCGAAGCAAACGAGCTGCACACCTTCTGCCCCCATCCTGTCTAGACTGCCTGTTCCTCATGCATAGCACTTCTTTGGGGCTTACATTACTCACAGGTTGTGCTGCTCTCTCCTCCATGAGCGGCAGTGTGGATTCTTTTTTTCTTAGCTAGTTCATCTTCTGCTGTGGTAGACATCCTTCATCTGCGGTGGGTCAGTCTGCCCTGCAAAGTATTTCCATACAGACTTCTGCTTGTCAGTGTGCACCAAATAGTTTTTTGGCAGCTGTAGCCTAATGCCTGTCCAGGCCTAGGGGCTCAGGCATTCCTTCAGTATAGCAGTCAGTCTGGCTGTGGCTTAGCCCACTTTGCTGTCGAGCCTTCTCACCATCATTTCTCAATGGGATGCTGTACAATCCATGATAGAGGAAGAAATATATCCCTCTGCCCACCCCACCCTCTGTGGATGATTTTTGTGGATTATGAGTAGAAATAGTACTCTCTTGCTGCAAACATTAGGAAACTGCCTCTGGTGTGTTAGAAGCTTTTTCTCTGCTCTTTGAAGTGGTAGTGACTAGTGGTGGTGCGCATCCAAATGCTGGAATGAGGAGGCTTCTTCCAGAAAAGCCTTTTGAGCACTGAGGAAAAGAGAGCAAAACAAACTTCATAATGTCATTGAAGGCACAGGTATTTAGTGATATTGCAGTAATTTTCTGTTTCTTCTTTACCCTTAAAATATGGTAAGAATGAAAGATGTTTCAAGAAAAATGTTTTCTTACTGGGAGAACTCCAGTCAGGACCTCTGAATTCAAACTTAGTGTTCTCTCTTTATTAGGCTTTTTTACTTGCTTAAAGTAATTACACTAGGGAAAGAAATGGGTTAAGTAGTTTGTTTTCAAGTCAGTGTACTGCTGATTTCAATATGATCTCTGAAAGAATAACTATAAGTGGTATAGTATAGTGGTATTTGTTTCAGTCTGGTCAGATTGTAGACCATTTAAAAAGTATTAATTCCTTTATGTAATTAACCACTATTTCATTACAACAATAGATCCTGTGAATGCAAGTTACTTCCTATGGACAAGTTACTTTTTTTTGTTGAGCATATTTCCAGAAATTTAAAAGGTGGCTTCTTTAGTTGTCTTGTTTTTCATGGTGTGGAAGGTTTGTCATTTGCACTGGCCTCTCAAAACAAAATATTCAGATGGTGACATGCTTACTCTTAAAAAGAAAATTAATTATTTTTCAATCCAGTTTTATCACTGGCGGGGATATTTTAAATCATAGTAAATTTCCCATGCAAAAATATAACATCCATTTTCTTCTTTATGAATTTTGTGTAGATGAATAAAAAAATATATATATTAGTCTGTTTTAGAAAAGTCTTGGTTCTGCTTCATTATTTTGGTACTCAAATTGTTTCTCTTCATGTTGGCTGCATGGGAGTTGTCTTTGTTAAATATGCCTGTGATGGAAGAAATAAATTTTGTTGGTTTTTTTTTTCCTGAATCTGGCATAACTTGAGAAATTCCTCTGCTTACCCTCATATGCTTTTTAAATGTCAAGCTGTGATGGCCCTTTCTCACTGATAGGAGAACCATTGCCTCATGTTGTGAGGTATTGATGGGTTATTTTAATAGCTTACTGCTTTAAAAAGAGAAACTTTGTATATTCCAGTAGCAGCACAAAAAACGAAAATATTCTTATAACTTTGTATAATGTCTGAAGTAATCCCAAAATGTAGATTAACTGAGAATTTTCCAATTGTTCTGTTTGCATACAAACCACGCGTGTGTGCATACGTGTGTAAGGAGCAGATGTTGGTCTTTACTTCTGGAGTTCCTTCCAGCTACAGTCTTCTCTGCTATTCTTATTCTCATCAGCAATGTATTGCAGGCAGCAACCTGCATTAGCCTCCTGATGCCTTAATGCTCTCAAGCATTGGGGTGATGCTTAGTTGTGCAAGAAATCTCAGGGCAGAGTTTGAGTTGCACATCAGAGTAGCCTTTGTGTGTATTGGGTGAGTAGAAAGGCCCAGTCTGTTGGAGTTCTTTTTGTCCTTAGGAATGAAAGTTGTCTACTCTGTAAATAAGGGGAGTTAGGAAAGCCTTAGGCACCCTTTCATATTAAAATAGGCTGGTTGACTATTGAATGCTCATAGTAGAAAAGAGAAGACTAGACTGAGATTCTGTTTGGTCAGTAAGGACTGTCTCTGCTATTCCTTACTCATCTATAGATTTGTAGCTTGTAACAAGGAGAATGGACTGGTTAAAATTTTGTTCCTAAAAGTATCCTGTGGATACACTTAAGTGTTGTTACAGCTCCCAAATCTTTCTATCATCAAAATGGTCTGAAGAAAAATTCTGGAGCAAATGTCTACCTGCATAACTAAATGCCTACTTGAGCTTGCTTTAGCTCAGAATAATGGAATCTCCTTTGCTTTGAATTTATGTTCACCTTCCAACAGAGAGCAGGTTATTGCTTCCTCAAAATCAGATTTAAAGTAGTAGTTCCCAGAGGGGATCACTTCAGTTATGTGGAGTAGATTAATTTCCTATACTTTGATTGCTTTTGAGGTATGTAATTCAAGGTGAAATCTGAACTGGCAACCATAGCTGCTAGTGCTACAGCCTTCTATACTAGATGGACAATCATTTTGCTACCTCGAATAACCATGTTCATAATCACTTTTCCCTGAATTAGGTATAGGGGAGGATTGATGAGTCTGGCTTAAGATGAGCGTACTGAAGTTTTTCCTGTGGGACCTGAAATGCCTGACATGTTGGTCCCACACCAACATGACTCCTAAACCCTCTAGTTTTGATTTTTTTTTTTTTCCTCTGAGGTAGTTTGCTCTGAACAAAATTATTAGTAACTGCATGTGATGAAACTTAATGTTACTTCTTTGAGTGTCTTTCTGTAGAAAGAACAAAATCTATTGCAAAAGCCACTGCTCTTGAGTATTCATATTCCAGGTGGAGTAGTGTGAGTACATATCACAAGAATAGTGTGGAGTACATGTCTGACCAGTTGTCAAGATATGATTCCCTTTCCAGTTCCCTTCATATTGGAACAATGTATAACTATAGCCTGGAGTGAGACTCAGGA